TATTACCTATTTGCCATAATTGAATTTATAACTGTACAATAATTTATTTGTTAGTTATAGTATAAAAATTGAAATTATTGGTTTTTTTACATATTGCATGTGTTCAACTGTACGTGGTTTTTACATGATGCATCTGTAACGTGTTCAAATAATTGTAAATATTTCTAAAACAATGGTAATATTTTCAACTCTCAGCTTTTAATTGTTTGTCTTTACATCCAAGTTTAAAACAATGTCCAGTAGATTTCTAAATATTTGTTTGATTATTTTTATCGAACATCATTCTTTTCTCTTATTAATCTTAGTGTTATTTTATGGTTATCACCTAATAACAATTGTTGTTATTATGATGGTATAAATCGAGAATAACGGCCGTCATGGTGGTATATTACCACGTGTTGCTATATAGACTAGTAGTCATTATTTTGCTCTTGTTTGTGTGCGTGTACTTGTAAATTATAACGTCTAAGTGGCCGACGAATGATCTTTTCCACGTCTCTCGAATACAAACGATTTATGTACGTTGTTGTTTCAGTTAGCGTTGCTGCGTTTAATTTCCTTAAAATCTCAATGTGGCATATGTCTACGATATGTGGCGCCCCTACGTCTCTTTGTCTTGGTGATACAATCGTGAACACCTATGAAAAATTCACACTAAAAAAATGCTCCGCATGTTCTCGATGTGTTATGGCATTCTAGACGAGCCGTTACAGTAACACGGCGCAGCAAAAGTTGGGTTACTTATATTTTATAAAAATAAATACAAATATTATACGTGTATTTAAATTTATGTGATACGGACTAAAATGTGTTAAGCGGCAAAAGAACACATGTTTCCACCAGAAATAACTAGTTTATAAATAGTGACAGTTGTGCTGTTGGCTCGAATCCCTTTATGTATGTAGGCAATCGTTCGATATTATTATTAATTTGAGTTTACTTGAAGTAAATAACATAACGCGTACAAGTCTGTACGTCTATTCTTCTGTTATCGATATGTGAATTTACACAACATTTTTTAAGTGTTGTGTTAATAATGAAAAAATTATAAATTTTGTTGTACGTTTGTAATTATCATTATTGCAGAACGATTATGTCTTGTTTTACTTGGTAGGAAATGAAATGGTATATATGATTGTATCAACTGCGAGTAACAATATCTTATTGTTATGGTTATTTAGTTTTATATTAATGTTCTCATATTTTACGCTCAATGTACGGCGACATCGTTATTGTAATAGGGCGATTGCTTCTTCTTCTTTTTTGCTACCGACAAAGCTTTCTTCTGTCTGCTTCTTCATTCTAGTGAACGCCATTGTTTCTACTATTATCAAACGTCATATGAATTTCTATTGACAAGTCATTGGATGTATTCCCCTGTCCATTTACTAGTTTTCTTCGAAAAGTTCAACGACAGATTTTTGTATTGTTTAAAGTACACCTATGATTTTAATTTAGAAGTAATAAAAATACAATTTAGATGGAAATTCTATTATTTATAGACAGTAATATTTCATAAACTCGTTGTAACAAAGCTACCGGTAATTTATTTTTATGCAAGTGAAAAATTCTAATAATTTTATGGACAAGGCGTTGTTGAGTTCCTAGTAGTTTAAAACAAATCAGCCAATGAATAATTCATCCGAGCACAAGATAAGTTTTGTTTTATTTCAACTTGGGACAGGGGTGAAAGTTTGACGCGGAGAATTCACAACCCTTTAAAACGGTGTCGTATATAAACGGAAAACGCCTGTTTAATTTTGAATTATTCATATACAAAGTGTGTCGACTTTACCCTTCTCTAATCAAACTTCGCTCTTTTATAAGTTTTCTCTATCTCAGTAGGTTTATTATTCGTTTGATTCAAAATTACAATACATTTTGTCTAGTTTTTCTGTCTACTCTTTTAATATATTTTGTCCTAATCAATGTCATCTCTGAAACAGTTATAAAAAAAGAACTTGTAATTTTATTAATTTTGCTATTTTAATGAATCTTATATTCAAACTTTCATGCATCTAAAAAATTTTTTACGACTTCATAAATTTAGCTGTTGCTCTTTATCTCATAAAAATTTTAATTCTCTACGTTGAGTATTAACTGATATACACATTTGGAAAATTACCTTTCTTATTTCATTGGTGTTAATAAATAAACCTTTTTCATCACGTCATGCGTGTACAACTTACACGGATAGTTAGTTAACGCTTTGTCCTCCTCTTCATTCTCACACACAAGTTATGTTTTATTCGATTTTTCCGTGTTGTCGACGGCGGAACTGATTAAATTCATTGTTTAATTATTATTGCTTGTAATGTTATGCTCGCGTTGTTACTACAATATATACTTAGAATAATTTTCGTGCGTTATTTATTGGATTCAATACTTTCTAGCTTCATAAAATCCTATAGTTCAAATCTTAAACACAACAAAAATCATGTTCGTTACTAGGAAGGATTAGGGTCAGACTTCCCAACGACGAAAACAGATTGCATGTTGAAGATACAATTTGAAGGGATAGTAACAAATTTCTATATATAATCTCCCCGATATAAAAAAAAACCTTGTTAGTCAGTTATAAAAATGAAAACTCCTCTTACATTCTCTCATTTTTAAAAAATTTTAAATCAAAGGGTCAATTATTTATCGTGTTCTAAACTATAGCTTAATTGTTTGTTTCAAATTTCAAAAGCCTACGTTATGAGTTAACAGATATGGGGATTAGAAAAATAGGGTAAATGGTTTCGTATAAACACTAGCATTGTAAGAACTTGACTTGATTCAGTGATTTTTCTTATGAGATTAAGAATGAATAAATTTGCGTTAAAAGTTCGATAATTTTTTATCTAAATTTTTATTTTTATTCATTCCATTGATTTTTAATTAGATTACGAAAGTAAATCTTTGTAAATAAATTGATGAGCATCGTATGTTGATTGATATGACCAATTTAACCTTTTTTTTTATATATATTACTGTTTCTCGTAATTTAATCAATAGAAAGAACTGAGTCGGTGTACATTTAAGTGTTTCAGTATTAAAATAAAAATTGAAAAATAATAAAGAATCGTGTGTGTTACTATGTAATCGCATACACGTTATAAAGTTAAATCTCTTCGATAACAATCTAAAAAGTAGACTTCCCTAGATGTCGTATTGTGTACGTTACGTTTTTACATATTTAAAATAATAGTGTTATCAAAGTAATCGTTCTGCGGTCCCTAAACAATGGTCAATGTGTGTGTGCATTGTATTATTGTATAATTTAAACTAACTGAGGTTGCCCATGCTGCAAAAAAGTATTACTTGCATGCTAGTTGTATATTAATCTTGCTGGTAAGTCTAATGTTTATGTATTTTATACGTTTACGGCAGTTAATACCATTAATTATTCTATTAGACGTCATAAAATATTTTTACATGTATATAATAATAATAAAATCCGCCATCGTGTTTCAGATCTTGTTAAAAAAAAAAAAAATACTACTTTTACTACTATGATTACTACTGTTAAACCCGCACTGAGTGAATAATTACTGTGATATTCTGATGTACAAATGTTTGTGTGTATGTAGAAAATAATCATGTCTCGTGCGCTTCAACACTTCCAATGATTTATAACTATTAGGTCTCTCATTTTTTTGCTTTAACCGATTTGTGACTTTTTTTCTTCTTTTAGGTTTTTATTTATGTGAGGCGCCATTAAACAAAATATTATTTATTCAGCTCGTTAATTAGTATAATAAAACTGAAACGGGGTTGAAATGAAATTAATACAAATCGGCTATTATTTTGATATCAACAGATTGTTTTATACATTTGTGCATTGCACCTATATGTTTGATAATACATAATTTCTTAAAAACAACTTCATATGTTTATTGAACTCAAAGGCTGCCTACGTTTACATAAGCAACCAAACAATAGCTTAACTAGGTTTTTATACAAAAAGAGATTTCCAAAGATATTTGTTCTGCTTTCTCAAAGCTAGAAAATAATACATCATTATTACCTTTCAGATTTTTTTTTGTTTAGGAGATAAACGACCCTCAATTTTTTCTTTTTGTTATTTTAGTGGTAATTAAATATGTGTTATATTCATATTGAATTAGATTCAATAGCAATCAAGGTAGTTTTAGCATAATTTAAGTGCTATTTCGGTTTTACCGATATGAAACAGAACAAGCAAGTAAACTTAAAATAATAACAAAATTATAAATATAGTTGGGTTGGGTTCTCTTTCTGCTAATATTGTGATGATTTCGTTTAACTTGAGGATTGGCGATATTCAATTCTAGTTTAACAATTGGAGAATGTCCAAAGGTGTTTGTATTTTGTAAATGTAAAATATTGTAGTTCACATTAATGGTTGGCCTCGTGCCTGTGTAGTTTTCAATAAATTTCACATAGGTACTCGATATTTTTAAGCTCAAAATTGTTCAAGATAGATCACTCAAAATATTACTAAGGTTTAATTCTATATTTCTATAATTATATTGTATTTATTGTCTAGCGACCAAAAGGAGTAATTTACATTTTAGATGTTTATAAGAATACGATTTGTTGAAATACTTGTTAAAAAACCAAGCGCTTTTTAATACACCATTGATAAATATTTAAATGTAACTTAAATTCAAAACAAGCAGTGGTGTGTTGAATATTGAATTTAGATTCAGCATCTTTAAACAATAATATTATTTTTATATATATATATACATGTTTTTTTAACCGTTAAGTTGGTTGATACCAATTGGATTGTTATATTATAGGGAAATTTAAGTGCAGTTATTTCCCGTTACCTTTTGTACTGGGAACTTGGTGCTTTTTCGCCACCGTAAGAGCATACTTATGGGGTCACCCATCCGTTCACCTACTGCGGTAGGCGCGGCTTAACACTAGAGTTTTGCTATAATACAATAATATATTAATACAAATGTTTTATATATCAATTAAGTGTTTAATGTGTAGATTATTAATTAAGTATCTTTTTTGGTTCACAGTGTTAAGCCTACGGAATACACAAGAAGAAGAGCCACCGGATCCGCAACTGATGAGGTTAGACAATATGTTAATCGCCGAAGGTGTGGCAGGACCAGAAAAGGGAGGCGGTGCGGGAGCTGCTGCTAGTGCATCAGCTGCAGCTTCGGGCGGTCCCGGACAACCGGACAACGCTATTGAGCATTCCGATTACAGAGCAAAACTAGCGCAGATCAGGCAAATCTATCACCAAGAACTGGAGAAATATGAACAGGTAAAGAAAAATGTATAAATATAAGTCAACAAATAATTTAAAAATACGATTAGCTTATTGTTATATTTTTATTGACTAAAAGCGTTAGCTGCGAGAGAGTTGAGAACGCGTGGGAAGTCTTTTATAATTATTTCTGTGTTAAACTCATCCATATTGTTTTAAAAAAAACATTACATCAAACGTGGCGGTGCTTAACATTGATAGGTTTCGCCTTTCTTACAAATCGATTACTAATTCATTTTATATCCAGACACCGTAAGAAAATCTACATAGTCGGGTGTGTGGATGATAATAAAATTTTAATTACTTTAAAGCCTTACCCTTATTATCTATGCTGAACTTCTAGAAAAATGAAGTCGATACCGAAATTGTACTAACTTGTAACAAAATCTCCGTTAAGATGAATATTTCTTAATTTATCTACTTTTACCAATCAAAATTCATTGTAAATTTCCTTTTTCCACAAATATGTATACACACTTATGTATGTTCAAACGTATGGTGGGAGTGCGCGTGCCACGGTACATTAAAAGGGCTATAAAAAACTCATAAATTACCCTCGAGAATTACGAGGCAAAAAATTATGGCATTGATAACAAAAGTAATGGTAATAAATATAATGCACAGGTGTCTTCAGTTCTATTACTTTCACGCAGACACATTGTGTTATTTTTAAGTGTACGACTTTTAATTTAAATGACAGTCTTGTTATACCCTTCAGTTATAAAAATGGACTTTTCTCAGTGAAAATTATTTCGATTTACTTAAATCTGCTATTAAATCCTACTAGTGAATTTTCTTGCGTGTTGAATTCGTAGCATTGTTTATAAATACCCAAATATATAAATTCGAACGCTTCTATTATCATGTTGTTCGTTTTATTTTTTAGTGGCGGTATTTAAAATCATAGCTTTAAGTAATAGACAGGTAACAGTATGGGACGGATAGATATAATCACACTGTTGGTGTTGTGCTTACTCAACCCGCGTAATATTTTAATAAAAGGGGGTGCACATAAATGTTTATTTGCTTAATAAGTAAATTGAAAAAATTATAGTAATTTTCAAATCGTACCGGAGGATAATAATCACTGTCGGCCGTTGATATTACTGTTATTATTATTATTAACCGAACCGTATACCATTATACAAAAATTGTCGGTGTTGTGAGTTCGGCCTCTTCGCTTGTGTGACGGGTACCGGTTGTTAGATTGCATTTACCTGAGGCGGGGGAAAAGGTGTACGCTTAAATATTCCAGAAATTAATCGGCTTAACGACCAGATCTGCACGCAATCGTTTTTGGTTTTTATTCAGTGGTCATTTTTGCTATATCAAACACAATGATTGCACAATTACAGTTTCATTCTTTTATACGCCACTAGTCAACTGAATTATAAATATATTCCGTAATTGTAACTCATACAAAAGTGTATGATGACTCGTTTTAACTTCGGACTCCATATCTTATTTTCAGCTTTCTCTTATGAATATTATTATTATAAGCGGTTGGGTTCTAAATCATTATTATTTCTATTTTATTTCATTCGTTGATAGTTCTAAACGCATATGTCGGAAGACATTGGCCTTACGTTTAAATTGATTTTGTACATAGTATTGGTAGAAATAATTGTATACATGCAATAAGAACCCGAGTTGATCTCCTTGAGCCTGTTGATATGTATGTATGTGTACCCTCTAAACTTGAACTGCGATTTTCGCGTGTTCGACTACATTTTGGTGTGCAAAAAATTCTCACTTTATGATTAATAGTGTATCGTTTTTCCCTGTGATATCTTAATACATCATTTAATGTGTGGTAATCGACGACGCACCAGGCGTATAAATATGGTCATTTGCGGTTAACGCCTATATAATATCATCCAAAGTGATCTATAACTTAGATTAAGTTTTAAAAACCGCAACCGCCATGAAACGCCTCTATTTAATAATGATAATAGCTGCAGTACCCACGTGCATATTATATTATTATGATTACTGCATTATAAATGTACAGGACGTTTATTGTTTATTTTATTGTATTTAGGCCTGCAATGAATTCACTACCCACGTTATGAACCTGTTACGAGAACAGTCTAGAACACGGCCGATCACCCCTAAAGAGATCGAACGAATGGTGCAAATAATACACAAAAAATTCTCTTCCATACAAATGCAGCTGAAACAGAGTACGTGCGAAGCGGTTATGATTCTCCGATCGAGATTTTTGGACGCCAGGTTAGTAAAAATTTAACTAATAATTATTTCCAATTAGGATAAATGTTAATAAATAGGGCAATTTTAAATTGTAAATTCATTATTCCTTTTAGAATATTCGATGGATACTACTATTTGAGATTTTTTTTTTTAAAAGTAGTAAAAATATTGTATTTTTTGTATAACATAAATTTTTGATCAAATAAAAATTCATCACTAACGGTTTTTCGTGTTAAATAAATAATTTTATCATAAAGAACTATAACATTTTATAGTCAACCTATAAAGCTAAAAATATATTTGAAGTATTAATTTAAACTAAAAAATATTTTAAATATATTTTTAGTTTTTAATTAATGTTAACCACAAGTGATCAATTTTATTATATAAACTAATATACTACTTAAATTTTGACCATAAAGTAGTGGTTTTATGTTAAATGCATTCATATGATTTTTACAGGCGAAAAAGACGAAATTTTAGCAAACAGGCTTCCGAAATATTAAACGAGTATTTCTACTCGCATCTAAGCAATCCGTATCCATCCGAAGAAGCCAAAGAAGAACTAGCGAGAAAATGTAGCATTACCGTCTCCCAAGTAAGTTATCCGTCGTTGGTATACTTTCTTGCTTTTTTCTTCTTTTAATTTTACATTAAAATGTATAGGTGTCCAATTGGTTTGGAAACAAACGAATCCGGTATAAAAAGAATATAGGAAAGGCACAAGAAGAAGCCAACTTGTATGCAGCTAAAAAAGCAGCCGGTAAGTTCAGACTTATGAAAATCATTTTCCTGTACTACCTACAAGATAGGTAGTACAAGTAGATTTTTTTGATCCCCGTATTTGTGAAGTTAAATCTAAATGATTTCTCTTGATTTTAATGGCAGGTCTTTTATTGTGATTAACAAGGAATTAAAATTGTTTAGAGAAAAAAAATCACTTCTACGCTTAGATGTACTTTAAGTGTTTGCTTTTTATCCTTGTTAAGTTGCTTTTTTTAAGAATCAAGTGGACACTGTCCGTCTTATAACCCTACAATATAATTCCTGGTCCTAGGTTTTTTTCTTATTTTATTAATTCTAGTTTTAATTTTAATATTCACAAAATGTTGTTATTATTTTCGAAAATTATGTTACCGTTACTACATTTGCAAAGTATAGTGGCATGGGCTCTGCTCTTATATTGGTGTTTAAAAACATAAAGAGAAATACAAAAATGTAAATAGGGAAAGGGGTGAAGTTTACTATAGGGATTTGGATAGCGATATATACGAGTTGTTCGGGGGCAGCGGTGGGGTGTAAGCTCCAAATGGAAGTAATATATCACCAGGTCCCTGGCTTTGAGCTTGACAGCCCGAATGGTTTTCCTGGTTTCCGCATTGCCCTGTATGTGTTGCCCGTTTCATGCTCTCCCTTTTCTGCCATCACACACTTCACCCTTGTGAGTATATGTATATATATTTTCTCACTGGTACTACCGTACTATCGCTATATCCTCCACATATATAAATATATATACCACACATTTTCAAACATTTCGAGACATTTTGTGTATGTGATCGTGTGGGTTAGCGAGCATGTGTGTCATCATCGGGTTTGATGCTATTTCTTTATTTTTTTGTATGACAAAAGTGTGTCGACCTGGCTATTCATACAAGTTAATAAAAGAAAAAAATAAAAGACGAGACAATTTTTAAATTTTGAGCGTTTTAATTATTGTTATCAAATATCCAACAAGTACTCATCATGATTCATTATAGATATTAATAGTTACAATTTTTCTAGGTTTAATACAGCTTTGTCTATCATATTATTATGGTTGATCGTGGGTCATAATAATAATAAAGCTATTGGGTAAAGGGACGTGTGTTAACAATGATTAATACTTTTAATACATTTATATTGTTTTTGAACCGTAAAACGTGAACGTGTAATTTATATAACGTTGTTATTTTTTCATCATTGTTGTAGATACGCCCAATTATATAGGTTGAATGGTATTCGTGTGTATCACTTTTTCTTACACTAACATTCTCTTGTGCATCACGAGTCCTCTTACTTTTGTCTAATATTTTATTGAAATGAAAATATGTCAAATGATTTTTATTTTTGTGTTACAAATGTTTGGGTAATTATAAAAATTATAAGTGTTAATAAAATCATTTTTAGGTTGGAGAGATGTTTAGATTAAACTTCTTAAAATGTTTTATACAAACTGCATATTATTAAAAAAATTTGTTCTTAATTATTTCACACATTAGATAATTCACATGTCATATAAAAATATTTTACTGTATTATGCAGGTGCATCACCATACAGTATGGGTCCAGCTTCTCAGGGAACACCAACCCCTTTACTATCACCCGCTCCCGGTGGCGGCCCCCAGGACAGTATGGGCTATAGTCTTAGCTTAAATGGTGCTGAATATAGTTCTCCCATGTCTGGATCTCAGGTAATATATATTTTTTTTTCAAAAGTACTAATCATTATAATATAATTCTGCGCATCATATCCAATAGCTGATAAGTCACAAAAATACATTTAAAAAAAAACCCAGCACAGGGGGGTCGCGGCACAGTGGTGACGTGGCATAGTTGGATCAAGTATAATGATATCTGACAGTGATTAAAATCACTATCAAAAATAAACGCTTCGATGCAAATCTTTAGATAGTGTTTAATTTTAAAAAAAATTGGTGTTTTATTCCAAAAGCTACTTGATCTGCTGGTTCCTTATTAATATCTCGATTAAGATAAAGTATGTCGAATGAAAAAGGGTTTATTAAAAAATATTATTTCTCATAAAAAAATTGTGTGGATCCATAAACTTTTCAATAAGTTATAGCATTATAAAGTTAAATATAATATAAATAATAAAATCGAGAATTTTCACACGAAAATAGCATTCGGTAGCCATTTTCGCCGTGAAGACAAGTCCAGAGGTCAAATTTTTTTTTTTCAAATTAAAGTATATTACATTAGCTTTAATTTAAGATATATATAAAAGTGTCAGACCTTCCGGAACATTTTCAAAAGTTATGTTGAAAAAGTAAATTTGTTGTGAAAAAGTTGTCATTTTAAATTCCCCCCTGTGGGCAGAAAAAAGGTCATTTACAAAAAAAATATACTAAATAATAGGTAAAGACATCAAGCATCTATAAAAAAAAAAAATTATATTCATATGTTCATTTTTGAAAAAGTTATGACAGTTTTTAATAAAAAAAATTGAAAAAATTTCGAAAATTAGCGATTTTTAAATTTGTAATTTTTTTGGAGGTTTCCCCCATTTACGGGGAACGAGGGAAATTTTTTCAATTTTGAAGGGTAATGTCTTCGACTAGATACGATTTGTGATCTTTTTGACGTATCGTTGAAAGAAATCCATTCGGTGAGAGCTGAGAAAAAGTGGTAACAGACACAAAAAAAAAAAAAACACATCATAGTAAAACCAATACCTTCTCAGCTTCGCATCGAAGCTAATATTCCTTATAATTTGTATAAATAAGATATTTTCTGTCTTGTGGTTTATAGTCATCAAATGTTTTGTTTTCAAAAATGAAAAATTATATTTATACTAAGTATTGAAATATATTATAATAATATTACAACATTTTTCATTTGTTTTTGCTCTCTTAAAATATTATAAAAATTATTATATCAGCTCTTGAAATATAGCCACAGAACTAATATTATGTATTGTTTGCTTATATAATTTTAAAATAATTTTTTTTTTATAGGCACAGTATTCAGATGGAAGCCTAGGATATGATCCAATGGGACACCAGGTGAGCGACTGTGAATAACAGGTTAATATAATGAACTTGAATAAGTGAATACATTCATTTACTAAATTTTACTTTTGCTTTTGGTTGTCCATTTTTATATTAATTATTATATATTTAAATTCAATTTTTATTATCTTTTTTCTTAGATTTAAATTACACAAAATAAAAAAATAGTTGACTATTACTAATGCGTTATTTAACAAAAACTAGATCTATTTATTTTGATTTTAATGATTAAAAATAAGATACAGCACTTCTAAATTGTTTGAGTATTATTTGCTTTATTTAATTATTTTTTTAAGTAATTAATTAAAAATAATTCTTAATATTTAACCACAAATATTTTTACATTTTTTATTTAATACTAAAGCAATTTTAGTTAACTTAAAATTTAATTTTAATGTTTTTTTTTCAGACAATGCCCAAAAATTCTGGGTCTCCTTCAACTGGTTGGAATTCTAGTCATGAGTACCAAGCTCATGGCATGCACGACGACAGTGAAGATTCTTCTGACGATGTTGATATCAAACGCCCAAAAATGTCATAAGCATTTAATTTTATACATATATATATCCATCTTAATTGCTAAATTTTGTTCTTATATATATATATATATATATATATTGTATATATATTTATATATATTTATTTATATGTATATATTTGCTTAACTTAATCTATAGGTATGTACTCAAATGAGATATTTGTATAACACCTGTGGTACTCATTTTGTGTGTACCACTTATTACAATTTTTTTTTTTTCGTGTGTTCTTTTTATATATTAATGACAGTTAACACAAATTGCCTCATTCTAACTAATAATGTTATGGACCTACTGTAATGAAGAAAACGAAAGACTTAGACCTGTGTTGTGTTTCTTAAACTTCTTGCCCATCATCACACATGTAAGGGAATATTTTAATGTATATTTGTAATGATTGATATAAGTCTAATATTATTTGAGATTACCATACTGAAATTCAGTAGATACAATGTTTTATTTATAAAACTATTTTAGTATCATATAATTATTATTATGTATGTGTAATAATAACGAAATTATTGATTAACTTGAGCTTTTGAACGTTAATCGTTCACTATGTAACTTTGGTATACGTATATTGTGCACATCACCAGATTAATTTAGTAATTTATATAGAAAAATATAATAATATTATTGTTGGTTATGTTTACACTCACATTTTTTACTACTATCTGTGATCTCGAAGGAAAATCAACACATTCATCAAAATTATGTACAATCATGTAAGTGTTTTTCTCCTTTTTTCACTAAGTATACGATATACACATGGTAATATAACTATTTTTTTTTTTTATGTTTTATTATTAATTAATAACAAAGATAATTCATTAATATTATAGTAATATCATTAAAAAAAAATTTGTTTATAAAAATTGTTTAGTATTTTTTATTATATTAAACAATTTATATGATTATTGTATTTTTTAAGCCGCCATGACTATAATGTAATTCTTAAATATTTTATTGACTTTTAGACATAATAATACACTGTAATGTATACGATATTTTATAAGGTTATTGTTATCCAAATTGTGCATTCTGATTATTTTTCCTTCAAATTTCTCTTCTCATTAATTTAAATTCTATGTTAGTAAACTTTTTTTTATTTACTCAAACAAAAATAAATAAGTACCACCTATACATGTAATATTTTATTTTTATTGATTCAAGTTAAATTAAATTATATTGAATTACAATTTTACCTATTCAAATCAATTCTATATTTTTAAGTGTAATTATATTAAATTAATTAGATTAATTTTATCAAATTGATTTTGCATATTGTTTTCAAAAACTTCAATTTACTACCTCTTTTATTTTATCATTTTATTAAACTAAAGTTTACAGAAGTTCTCTAATGTTATTATATTATAATTTTTTTGTATGTCTTGTAAACTATGCCACCTAGATATTTGTATGAATATAATTTTATACATAACTCTTCAATTTTATGTGTAAGTATTTGTGTAATTTTTAATGTAATTCTGAATCAGTATACATTTTGTATTATATCAGATAGTATTCAAAATTTTGTTTTTAATTTCTATTTTAATATTATCTTTATTATTGTTTATATTGTTTCAAGTTTCCTACCTTCGGGATACAGACTCCACATGTCTCATTGTTAGTCTCTTTTCTACAGTTTGTACGAAATGTGGCCATTCTTGATAAATATATAAATTATAGATACTGATTATTTGTATACGACACATGAAGTTCACATTAAACTCTAATTTTAGACTTAGGCCGTTAATTCTATTGTTTATATTGATGAAATTACTTTTGTATACGATTTAATATTAAGAATGAAAAGTTATAACTTTTTGTGGACTCTTAATATGTTAGATACATATGAAATATGAATACATTTATTTGATTATTATTTAGGATCTGTATTTTAGGTAATTTATACATACTTATTATATTATTAATAAATATTGTGTACAGATTCTAATGAAAACAAAATAATAATGCTTGTAATTTAGAAGAAAGAATAATTTCAGTGTAATTTTTTTAACCTTAGTTATCATCTCATTTTAGAATTTTACCTCTATTCTTGTAGAACTTTTATAGTAAATTACATTGTATTATACAGCTGTTTGAATACTAAAATGATATACTTTATTTTAAAAAGTTGGCATTTGTCTAATTCCATTCATACATTTTTTAGTATATTTCTATCATGTATTTTCAATAATTCTGTCAATTTTTACTTTAAACTATTCAATTTTTTTAATAATTTTTATTAAAAATTATACTTCAAAATTTTACAATTTTATTTTTATGAAAATTTTTTTTATATTTATGGGTAGGAAAATTATATTCTAAAAGCCTTTAGCTGATGATGGTTTAAAAATATACCAATTCTTTATAAAGTGCCTAAAAAAAGAATTAAAAACTAAATATTAGCTGGAAATTATACCCTTCAATATTTTTTTTTCTAAAATTTACAATAAAATGTTAATGTAAGTTATAGTTGTTACTTAGATATATTCCACACAGTATAAAGTGTATGGCAGGCGCTGGTAAGAGTAGATGATAGGCAATTCTTAGCCTTTGTCTCCCATTAAAAATTTGTGTCTACAACAATGTTTCCGTTTATGAATTTCAGAAAATTGTTTATATCTATTTCTTGTCACTTAATAAGCTATTGTTTTTATGACTTCAAATATAAAAATAATGTACAATAAAATATTATTACACCTTACTACTTAACATTACTTTGCTATATTATGATTATTTTTTAGGTAATCTATAAATTATTTCAGTATATGTAATTCAATCAAAATGATTTTTATTTATGAATACTTCTATCTACCCTGGGCTAATAAGTTTTATAGAGGATTAACCCCTATAGACTTCCTATTAATATAGTTTTATTATATATTTTGATAAACTTGAAAATTTAAAAATTTGGCTGGAATTAAGTTATTAATAGTAAAAGTATATGTTGATGCAAATTTATAATATGCACAGAAACTTTTTAATCTAATAAAATGAGACAGCATGTGGGTTTTAAAATTTAAGCATTTCATATAAATTATATATCATTTAATGAAAAAAAAAAGAAATGCAAAAGCATAATGCATTATATGTTATGATTTTATATACAATACAAATATACATGTAAATATATATTATATTTATAACATATAACTTTCTAGGTAACATTTTAATTATAGAAAAAAAAAAA